GCATTGTCCATAATGCCACGTAGTATTCCTTGTATAAGGCTCCGTGTGGTGGATTAATTTTAGAATTCAGTGTCAGGCTGCCCCTTTCAAAGTACTGAAGGAAGCCTATTATATCTGCCAAAAGCCTTGATTTCCAAAGACTCAAGAAAAATTGACTTCCTGGTTACAGTAACTGTTCAGTTTTATGGTTCCACATTTATGCCTTCCTGTTCTTCACTCTGATTTATTTTACACTTCCATTTTAATAGCCATGTTTTGAGGGGATGTGGGGTATAAGTAATTACTTTTTCTTCCTTTGGAGAGGCACCATGTGTCTGGGGCTCTCCAGGGAGGTCTCGAACCTGCAGGGGCCCCTGGGATGCTGCCATGTTGAGGGCTCCTCTGCACAGGGAGGTCTGTTTCCTGGTGGGATCCAGATTTTTCAGCTGATGGCACTGAGGGTGCAAGACTGTGGCTGGGGCCGGGCGCGGTGGCTCACGCCTGTAATCCTAGCTCTCTGGGAGGCCGAGGCGGACGGATTGTTTGAGCTCAGGAGTTCAAAACCAGCCTGAGCAAGAGCGAGACCCTGTCTCTACTAAAAATAGAAACAAATTAATCAGACAACTAAAAATATATAGAAAAAATTAGCTGGGCATGGTGGTGCATGTCTGTAGTCCCAGCTACTCGGGAGGCTGAGGCAGAAGGATTGCTTGAGCCCAGGAGTTTGAGGTTGCTGTGAGCTAGGATGACACCACGGTACTCTAGCCCGGGCAACACAGTGAGATTCTGTCTCAAAAAAAAAATGTGGCTGGTGGCTCCTTCTTTAAGTTGCGGGCTTTGTCCTGAAACCCCACCTGGGCGCAGTGCTGCATGACCCCTTGGCAGCCCTGGAGCCGCTCTCGACGTCTCTGCCTCACGCCATTGCAGATGCCTCCTCCTTTGGGCTCTGAAGCTCCTGCCTAACTCTCCCTCCTTGTAGGCTTTCCCCTTCCACGGACAGACTTAGGTGCTGCAGATTTACTGAGAGACAGTGGCGAGGTTTGGAAAAGCGCGTATGGTTTTCTAAGGAACCGGGGTGGAATCCCAAAGCTGCGCCCACTCACTCTGACTTGGGCACGTTTCTGAACGGGATCCCATCTGCCTCAGAGTTCCTGCTCAGTGCCTGGCTCCAGGAGGCTCTTGAGTCTTGGATGTCCCCACTGGGTCCCCAGGCTTGGAGTGCAGCTGTGACGAGAGGCTTCTCTGCCGGCCTTTTATTGTCTGGTATTTGTAGGCTTCATACTCCACAGCAACTAGATTTCTAAATTTCTCTCCATGTAAGTCTCCAGTTCCTCCTTATCCCTTCACTTTTGGGAAAATAATCTCCTTTCTCTCCTTTCCTGGCCTCCCTCCATCCCTCTGAGCTGCAGGAGCTTGCCTCACCCCCAGCCCTGGGGTGTCCCTTCTCCTCAGCTCAGGGAAAGAGGTCTCTCCCCACTCTCAGGCACCGGCATGGATCCCCGTGCCTGGTGGCCCTGCCCTCTGCCACACTCCCTTCCAAGGCTTCTCCTGTTGCCTGATGTCAGGGGTGGGGCCTCTCTCTTGCACATCCCTCGGCACCCTCTGCGGCCTTGTGACGCCTTCGCCTCCAGCCCCCCGAGCTCCACAGGTGGGCTCCCCTCTCTGCCGAATCTTCCAGAGCAAACTTGCTCTTGCCCAGCCCGGGTGCCTCCCCGCAGTCCTCCCTCTGCCTGACCATGCTGGGTCCTTGCCCTCCTTGGCTTTGGCATAGGTCAGCGTCCTGCTTTTCTCCCTGCCTCCCGACAGGGGCAGGGCTCCCCAGGGCATGGCCCTGGGTCCTCTTCCTTCTTCATCCATTTCTCCTTGGTGAGCTCCTCTGCCCTGTGGCTTCAGCTGGCCTCACGTTTAGGGCTCAGCTTAGTGTCCCTCTCCCTGGAAGCTTTTGCTGACCTTCCCAGTCTGGGCCGTAACCCAGTGTGGCCCACCCCGGCACACTGTCCCTCCCTGGTGTGGTGACGTTGGCCATATGTACAGTCTTGTTCATGTGTCCCCTGCTAGGAGGACACTGCTTGGGTCTCTTTGTCACAATATCTAGCATAGGACTGATGACATAGTCTGACCTTCACAAACACACTCACTCTCACCTTCACCAAGTGTGTTTTTCCAGGGGAAACCCCCAACAGCTGGAGAGACAGGGCGGCCACTCTGCCCAGGGGTGGAGGCAGGGGCCTCTGGCTTTCACACAGCACCCTGGAGTGTAGAGGAGGCACCAGAATGTGTCTTCCTGTGTCAGAGGCCAGCTCGAAGGCCCTCACAGGTGCCTCATTCAAGTCCCTTGCTCAGGGACAAGGAGCCTGCATCCCTGAGAGGAACACGGTCACGGGCGAGCGAATAGCGGAGCCAGCAAGAGGGGCCGGACTGCTGACGCTTGTCCGTATAATTGCTTCCCGTCATAGTGAGAGTAGTGGAAGTTTAACCGTGTCCTCAGCAAAGTGCTGGCCTCTGCCCCAGGGGTGTGAACAGGCTGGCTTCCCCGGGAGGCACGTCCCTGTCCCGTGGCCCTGCATTCTGATGACCTCCTTGCTTGGGCGGTGGTGGCTGGTCGGGAAGCCATGCTCAGAGCGGGGCTGTGAGTCCGCATTCGTTACCCTTGGACTTTGTGCTTATGTAACACTTACAGGAATCATTCGGTGCCCTCTTTGCAGCATGTGATTTGGGAGGGCTCGGCCGGCAGGGTAGCAGTGGCCGCGGGCAGAGTTCACGCGCTCTGCCTGCTCACCCTGCGCATGGCTGGCATTCTTCCCCCGCTCTGCGCAGGCATGCCCCGAGGAGACTGGCCTGCCCTCTGTGGCTTTTATGTCACAGCTGTGTTTGAACTCTAGGCCTGTTTGAACCCTTTTCACCTAGCTGCTCCAGAGATAGAGCAGGTGGAGTAGCGGGCAGTGAGCAGGCTGGGCCTGGGTTCTAGCACTGCTCCTGCCAGCGGCTTGTGCAACGCCCTAGGCTGCTATTTCCTCTGCTGAAAATTCTGAACCTGCATGACTCAGAAGCCTGCCAGGCAGAAATTCAAAAGTTCAAGCATTTTTTTGACCACACAGTAGCCCCTCACCTAGAGGCAGAGCTTCCTCCTGGCACTGGCGGCCCCGTATCTGGGCCCTGCCTGTCCCGCCAGCCTCATCATGCTGCGTGTCATTCCGTGCACACACCACAGCTGGGACCGCGGGAGCCGAGAAGCAAATGCAGGCTGGTCCCATGTGGTGGCGTCTCCCCTTACTATCCCGGGATCCCCGTTCTCGCTCTCCGGGGAGAACGGTGGAGAACAAGGATGCTCATACAGGTGGTGAAATTCAACTTGAGGCCAGGCTAGGAGAGCCTGTGTCAAATACTCCCCAGAACCCAGTTTCCAGGGACCCTGGAATTTGTTTTTCATCTTTAAGAAAGAAAAGGTGGTTTTATTTTACTGGCTTCCTTAATTCTTCTGGCTTCTTCAGGCCGCCCTCTGCTGGACAGTGCTGGCTCCTGCACAAGCCCACTGGGGCGGGGAAAAGGAGCCGCCTACAGTCAGGCGATGGGATTTCTTCCCCATGCTGCTTGCTAGGCTCCTGTCCCTAGCATAGAAGAAATCCTTAGTAATGCTTAGCCTTTGTCAGGTCAGCTGAGGCTGCCCAGTGTTCTTTTGGCTTCTGTTTCCGGCATAAGAAAGGGGAAATCTCCCCGTATCTGAGATATGCTCGCTGGGAAGCCTTTTCTGGAGTTTGAACTTATAATGCAGCAGTCAGAAGCTCAGGTGACTCCTAGCTCTTCTAGTCCTAGTTATGCAGATCTCAGGCAAGTTGGGTGACTTCCTCAACTGGGAAAGTCATCTGCTCCGGTATTAGCATTGAGCTCACGTGATTAACTTCTCTAAGCTTTTTTTTTTTTTTTTGAGGCAGAGTCTTGTTCCGTCGCCCAGGCTAGAGTGCAGTGATATCATCGTAGCTCACTGCAACCTCAAACTCCTGGACTCAAGCGATCCTCCTACCTCAGCCTCCTGGGTAGCTGGGACCACAGACATGCGACACGACGCCCACCTAATTTAGTAGAGATGGGGTCTCGCTCTTGCTCAGACTGGTTTCAAACTCCTGAGCTCAAGCGATCCTCCCGCCTCGGCCTCCCAGAGTGCTAGGATTATAGGCGTGAGCCACCGTGCCCAGCCAACTTCTCCAAGGCTTAATGTCCTCAGCAGAGATAATATTACCTACTTCTCAGGGTTGCTCGGGGATGCCATAGGTGTTTGTGGAGTCTAAGCACGTGTGTCAGTTTCCTAGAGCTGCTGTATCAAAGCACCACAAACTGAGTGTCTTCAAACTACTGAAATGTATTGTCTCATCCTTCTGGAGGCTAGAAATCTGAAATCGAAGTGCTGGCAGAGCCTTACTGCCTCTGACACCTGTAGGGGAATCCTTACGTGCCTCCTCCTGGCTTCTGGGGGTTTGCCGGCCATCTGCAATGTTCCTGGGCTCATAGACACACGCTAATCCTCCATCTTCACGGGGCGTTCTCTCTGTGTCTCTCGTCACGTAGTGATCTTCCCTCCGTATGTGTCTGTTTCTGCATCCAAATTTCCCCTTTTTTTTATAAGGACACCCGTCATAGTGGACTAGGGCCCATAATGGCCTCATTTTAACTTGATCACCTCTGTAAAGACCTATCTCCAAATAAGGTCACATCGGAGGTGTAGGGGTTAGGATGTCAGCATGTCTCTTTGCGGGGACACACAATTCAACCTATTAAGAGCAGGGTTAGCTATGTCTATTATTGTTATTTGTGTCACTATCTTTGCAATCATCCAGAAACCAAGAAAGAACTAAGAAGCAGGTCCTGCACCTGAGAACAGAGGGTACTACAGACCCTGTCTGGTGGCCCCCTTCATGAAGAGGAGTTGACTTGGTGGTCGGAATTCAGTTCCTGGGAACCATTTCGGTACAGAGGATATAGGAACAACCCCTCTAACCTCTGGGCTCTTGTTCTTCTTGCTACAGATGGAGCAGGTGAGGAATGAGCTGCTTCAGGAGAGAGCCGCGAGGCAAGACCTGGAGTGTGACAAGATTTCCTTGGAGCGACAGGTGAGGGCAGCCACCCTCGGGCCCCTCCCCACCCCTCAGCCCCCACCTGTGGCTTTGGACGAGAACCCCTTGGAGGTGCCTCCTTTACTCGGCTCCCCAAGAACTCTGGGGTGTAACTTACCTGAGAGGGAGAGGTGTTTCTAAGGCCTTTTCCAGAGAGGTTTCTCCCAGTCATATTAATTCTGCTCGGAAGTTTGGCAGCTGCAGGGAAGAGGAATTGCATGTGTTCTAGAACCTAAAGAAAGCTAAATTCTAATGTAAAGAGAATGAAAAAGAGTGGATAAGAAAGCTTAACTGGATCATCATCTCTTTTACATACTGTTCATGTCAGTTCTTCACTGGATATGATCAGGGAAGGAGCCTATTTCCCCTGTCCCCTATAAAAAGACAAGGCCAAAGCCATTTGAGGTTCTGGAATCTCAGGACATGCCAAAGATTTCATTCAGGCCTATGAGGGAATGCGATAGAATCTCTTCTTTTGGCCTGCTCGGACCTCAGTTCACGGGTTTCCCCTGGAAGTATTTCTGGGGTCCCCAGGCCCCCAGGCCATGCATCCCAGAGCGGACAGAGCCTTGTCACAGGCACCACCCAGACACCTGTCTCCACCCCGTGTTCTGTTCTGCACTGCTCTGCACAGAGAGCATGGCAGACAAACAGCTCCTCACAGTCTCCCTGTCTGATTCCAGAACAAGGACTTAAAGAGCCGCATTGTCCACCTGGAAGGTTCCTACAGATCCAGCAAAGAGGGGCTGGTGGTGCAGATGGAGGCCAGGATCGCGGAGCTAGAGGACCGTCTCGAGAGCGAGGAGAGGTGAGCCAGCCGTCTGTAGTGCAGAGGCCCTGGAGGGCGGTGGTAAACGTGCTTTCACATTTGGTATCTCTTCTCACCTTCATAAGCCTGTGAGGAAGGCACAGCAAACACAATCTTGCTGTTATTGGTTCCATTTTACAGATGAGAAAACTGAGACCCATCAAAATAAGTGACTTGAGCCTGGCTGAATACTGGACTCCCCTCCCACTCCTCAGTCCATAGCTTTTCCACTCGACCTGCTGCTCCTTTCCCAGCCCTTAAATAGGACAGGCTGCCTTGGAAGCCATTGAGTTTGAGCCAGATTAGGGCCCGGGGGCTGACTCTGCCTGGGGGCCAGGTGTATTTAAGCAGAGGCCAATTGGCTGCTGTTAGAGGAGGGGCAGGTCCCCCCACAGTGAGGAAGAGGGGTGTGGAGTCAGGTGACCACACTCCTTTCCAACACCCTGATTCTCTGCAGCTAACTCTGCGGGCCGGCACCAGGTTGAACTCGACCATCCTGGCCCCTCGCCTTCCTAGAAGGGGTGCAGTGTGTGTGCATGTAACGCTTCACGTTACCTATTTTTTTAGTAGGACTTTTAGGGAGTCGGACCAGAGCAGCCTGGAGTAGACTCAGGGCGGTTCTAGTCCCAGCTCAGACTCTCATGGCTCTGCAACCCTGGGCAAGTTGGTCCTCTTCTCGGAGCCCCCGTCCTCCTGCACAGTTGTGTTTCTTTGGCCCTGAGCCGTGAGCTGGCCGGGCAGCCCTGGCTGGATCTTCCCCTTCCCCGCAGCTGGGGCTGGGCCCTTGCAGGCTGGGGATGAGAGGGTCCTGGCTTCTGCCTCCGCCCCTTCCAGGGACCGGGCCAACCTGCAGCTCAACAACCGGCGGCTGGAGCGGAAAGTGAAGGAGCTGGTGATGCAGGTGGACGATGAGCACCTGTCACTGACGGATCAGAAGGACCAGGTGGGGCTTCCCTGCGTGTTCACGGACGAGTGTGTGTGTCTCAGGCTGGGGATACAAGGGGAGGGCCAGCCCTCCCTGGCAGGCACTGGAGTCAGGAAGGCCGATTCCTCCCTTTCCACTTACCTGTTACGTTGTAGAATTGGGGCTTTCTAGCCTGCCTAAGTAGGGGACTTCAGCAAACTTTAAACCCTGAATTTGGCCTTTAGACAGTCACCTGGGCATGGTTGCCCATGTCTCGGTTGCCTGGGGAGGAGGGGGCTGGCCTGGGGGCATCTCCATGTGGAGCTAGTCCTCCTCCGGCGGGGCCGAGCCAGCAACTGGCACTCACAGGCGTCCTCCCTCCCGATGCAGCTGAGCTTGCGCTTGAAAGCAATGAAGCGGCAGGTGGAGGAGGCTGAGGAGGAAATTGACAGACTGGAAAGTTCTAAGAAGAAGCTGCAGAGGGAGCTGGAGGAGCAGATGGACGTGAACGAGCAGCTGCAGGGGCAGCTCAACTCCATGAAGAAGGACTTGAGGTGGGCACACGCAGCGGCCCCTTGGGGCGCATAACCCTGACACCTGAGGCGGGCTGGATGCTTTCAGAGCATGCTCACTCCTGTTGTCCCGAGCCAGTTCCTGTTGTTGCTTTCGGGGTCATCTCATCCTCGAAATGAGATGAAGGTGTCCGTGTCCACTTCAGTCACCCCACATGCCATCCTTGTACCAGTGCCCCACTGTCACCTGGGCTGGTGTTATCCCTATTAACGATAAGGGGAAACTGAGGCTTGGAGCAGGTAAGACTAGCTCACACCACCGTGGCAGGGCCAATTCCCAGACCAGCCTGCTTTTGTCTGACTGAAGAAGAAATAAGGTGTGGTTTTTGCTTTGTATCCCCACGAGAACTAGGATATCCCAAGCCCGGTTTCAGGAGCCCGCAGCTCTCCAGAGCTCCTCTGCTGTGGTCCTAAGGACTGGGTGGGGGCCTGCGTAGGTTGCTTTCTCTGCCCAGGGCCACCGCCTGGGGCACTGAGGAGAGGGGGTGAGATTCGGTTCAGGACCGGAGAGCTGAGCCTTTCTTTGCATCCAGCTGTGACCTGGGACTTCAGCCCATTGAAAATTCTATACAACAGGCCTGTCTGTGGGAAAACTGGCCCCAAGATCAGCATTAGGGTGCAACATTTAAGGGACACCCAAAATCCCAGCAATCTAGATAGATAGCATTTTAATGCAACATTTTAAAAAATATGAATGCATATACAGTCCATGGTGAGCAGCATATCAAAATTTTAAATTGACATGATCAAAAACAGCAGCCATAAGGAGCTTGGGCAAAAGAGGAAGTCAGTAATCCTGATTCTGTCCTGGCCCAGCCCACCCTGTCCACACCAGCTGCCCGTGCTGAAGGGGGGCAGTTGGCTCCCTGTGGCTGAAGCAACCATGGGGTGTGACCTGTCGAGTTCATGTGCTTATGTGCCACTCGGTGGGGCAGAGGGACAGAGTCTGCCTTCCTCTGCAAACCCGGGATGAGCCCCAGCCCAGGGCCAAAACGCACCCCTTGTTGTCTCCGCAGACTTAAGAAGCTGCCCAGCAAAGTGCTGGATGACATGGACGACGACGATGACCTCAGCACAGACCGGGGGAGCCTCTATGAGGCACCGCTGAGCTACACCTTCCCCAAGGACAGCACTGCCATCAGCCAGATCTGAGACTACTTCCAGGGCCGTCGAAGTGGCGTCATTCCTGGCAGGAGCTCTGCAGCCACCCAGGGCAGGAGGCAGGGAAGGGAGCATCCGGCTGCAGAGACCCATTGCCTCCTCTTCACACAGCTTCCCAGTTCCTCAGCGCCACCTTCCTCCCCGGGGTCTCTCAGCAGGGCTCAGGGAGCTGCTGCAGTTTGAAATGGTCAGATGCCTGTTGGGGTGTTCTGGAAAACACGCTTTGGTTCTGCACCGCTGTCTGCCGTCCCGTTTGCATTGCTTCTCCTGCTCGCCTCTCCCTCCTCCTGCCAAGAAAAAGGGTCCAAAAGGCTCATTGTTACCGAGCAGCCGCTGTGCAGCGGAGGAAGCGGTGCAGAGGTTGTACATATGTTAAACCAGCCCCTCTCACGGACGGCTGCTGTCCCGTTTGCAGTGTTACAGAGGCCTCGCGGGTGGCTGGTTTGTGACGTTCACACATCCGTATCAAGTATTCTTTTTTAAAATATGAAGCTACTAGATTTTAAGTATTAAGGAGCAGAGGTGAGAGAAAGAGAGGGAAAGCACTAAGACCACTTTGGAAACTGGAGTTGGAGAAAGGAATTGTAGTGATAATGGACGATTAACACTGAGGATAGAAGTTCAGATGGTTGGGCAAACGACTCGCCGGCAGAGGGAGAGTCCGAAGGTCTCTGGTCTCTATGGGGTGTAGCTATGGCCTTGGTTGCTTATTTTGTCTAGAATTTTATTATAACTTCTGAATGATGCTGAGGCCAATTCCCAGTCGCCAGTTACAATTCCTTTACGTGGGGGTGGGGAGGGGGGAGACTTGTCAGTAAGGTTTTTATCAAATGCTGTGGTTTCTGGAAGGACAAGGCCCTCTTGCCGTGTCTTGCTGGCCCTGTCCTCCCATAGGAGGCCTCCCAGCTGTACCCCTGGGGCCCCTGGTGAGGTGGTGGCGGGATGGGGACTAGGAGGATGTGGGGGATGAGGGTCATGGACGGGCTGAGGTGTGAGGCCGAGGCAGGTCACAGGGGAAGGGAGATGAGAGGGCACAGGCAGGCAGGTGTGGGTGTGCGGCCGGACATGAGAAGGAAGCCAGAGAAGTTCTTGAAAGCTGGGGGGATGTGTCGGCAAGAGGTGCGTTTAGTGGGATCTCAGGTTTATGTCAAGGAAGGGAAGGAATGAAACAGATGTCAGGCAGAGGTGTGTCCATGCAAACTCGGGGACTCGTTCCAGCTTCCTGGGACAAAGGGACATTGCCAGCAGCGGCAACATGACTGGGAATCGGTATGGTCTGGGGACAGGGCCAGGAGGCTGGAGTGGAGTCACAGGGACGGCAACATTGGGAGGATGCAGGGTGTCCTGGCACTTCCTCCTGGCCTCCCTGTGTCACCTTGCACCAGGACAATCCCCAGGCATGGCCACAGGCCAGGTCCAGTCACAGCTGGGCCTCCACAGGTCAGGGCAGCTCAGTAGGGAAGTGGCCAGGGAGAGGACCCTGTGGGTTGGTTCCGTGTATGGGGCAGAGATGGCCGTGTTCAGCTGTGTCACAGTGTCCCCAAGCATCCCAATAGACGGGAGCCCTATGGACTAGAGAACTCCATGATAGTTGCCATGGGGTCCTACCTACCCCGGGTCACAGAGCCCACCTGCAGGATTCAGAGAGATCAGCCCAGTTTAAGGGTGGGCGTCTGGAGCCGGAGAGCCAAGCCCTCTTCCCCCTCTGCCCCGGTCACCCTGCCCACAGCTCGGGGCTATTCTTGCCTCTGCCTTCTCATTGAGGTGTGGAGAGATTCCTCCCTTCAGCCATTCATTCATTTAGCAAACACTTTTTGGCACCTATGATGTCTCAGGCACAGCCCTTGGCACTGGGAATACGGCAGTGAATAAAACAGGTAAACCCCCCCACACACCTGGAGCTGCGTCTGGGGAAGGGGGTGCTAGACAACAATCAAAGACATCGACATGGGCCAACCACCTCTGTGCCCAGCCCTGGAGCCCCTGTGTCCTCTTGGGCACACGAACGACAAGCCTGGCTCACTGGAACTCACAGAGATTCTTTGACACTCCCCCAATATGTTCTTTATTTGCCTGCGGCTCCCACTATCATTATGTATTTGCCAATAACCCTGCCTAGAAATGCCTCAGCCCCGCCCCTAACCAGAGGTGTGAGATACTACAGGTCCAGGACCTTTGGGATGAGTGTCTGCTGGGTGAGAAGGCAGCTGCCCCTCATTCCGACCAATTCTGGTAGCCGTGAGGCTGGCTACGGGAAGCAGAACCATCCGTGCAAAGAGAAGAGAGATCACCATTCAAAACACTTGTGTTATCACCCTAAAAATAGACTGTTGGAAATTCTAACGATCGTGCTATCCTGCGCTGCCACGGAGCTGGCCGAGGGCTGCATGGTGCAGTGCGGCAGGCGGGAAGGACACTGGCCTGGAAGTCGAGACAGGGGTTTTCAAGTCCCCACTGGTCTCGCTTCCCTGGTGACCTTGACAGGGCGCTTGCTCACACTCAGAGCCATGGGTCGCCTGGGACGAGGTGAGGATTAGGGCCCGAGGTCCTTTCCACATCTAACATGATATCCTTCTTTGATTTTATTATTATATGTACATTTTTTTTCTGTTTATTGCTTTAAGAACTAACCTGCTCAAGAGTTTTTTCTTTAGCTAGTTTAAAAAGAAAAAAGTTATTTTATGTATAAACACATATGTGGCCAAATGCAATGCTGAGAAGACAATCATCATATATCTTCTATAATTTTTCCCCCCTGCTTCTGAGTATCATTCTACAACGCCAATTGGCTCATTCTGTTGGGTTTCTGCTTTGGGGTATGGTTTGGCGGCTTTGCGTTGTCATGGGGAAGAGACAATCTTGTTGCAGCTACCTCCATGTGAGTGATTCCTGGATAAAGCAAGATTTACTTTCAATAAACTCTGTCACCCAACGGGAATCTCGACTCTTCCGTTATTTTGACTTCCTTGTTTTCTCCGGAGCTTGGCTCTGTGTCCTCCGAGAAACTGCGCGGGTGAGGGGCTGGGGGCTCCAACAGGCATCGTGTACCCTTCCTAAATTCCAGTGGCGCGCAGTCCCTCTCGGTCTCACAGCAGGCCGACAGCAGGCACCGTGGGCGCCATCTTACAGGAAACAAAGCAACGTCTCCGTGGAAGGGACACACTGTGATCCTTCTGTTTGTCCTCAGGTCTGTTCTTCGCCCTGCCCTCTGGAGGCTGCTGCGTAATGGCCCCGGGTTCCCTCCGCGACCAGTGGCCACTCTGGTGGGGTCCGGCCGGCGGAGGTCTGGGCATTTGTCCGTCACTCCCTGCTCTATGCGGCACTTTCAGGTGGGCTGCCCAGCACTTGTTGGGTGTCCTCCTCTCCCGTGCCTCCAGTGCTGAAGGCACTGGCTGCCTCCTGCTGTTCCTGTGGGTCCCTGCCGTGGTGGGTGTCCGCCACGCTGCCCGCCTGCCCACGGGCCCTTGGCCGAGCCGCCGCGGCTGCCTGCTGTTTCCCGTCCAGAGCCCTGTCCGGGCGGATGTAAACATCCCATCCGTCCCGCTGTCCTGCAGCCATCGACTGCCCCTAGTCTAACCAGGGAAGGCGCATCCCAAATGTAAATGAGGTTTTCTAATCTTAATAAATCCTCAGAGTCTTTGCATAAATTGCTTTTTTTTAAATATCAGGTATATCGAGGCATAATTTAATAATTTGTAATAAAAGTCACCATTTTTAGCATCATTTGCTTTGAAACTGTATTTAGGCCTCTTTATTTTGCCTCTGTGCCGGGGTCCTCTTGGGAATAGAGCTGCTGAGAGGCCACCTTCCCAGCAGGCCGTGGAGGAATGGGAGGGAGGCCCAGGCCTGCCGCTGGGCGTGTTTCCTCCACATTCCCCGCATTCCTTCTTTGAACTTGTGGATAGTTACAGGAGAGCCTGTCTTTGTTGAAAGACTCATTAGCCAGAAAGTTTTCTCTTCTAAATTTGCAAATGATAGAAATGGCTCTGGCTCCACAGCAAGTTCCTATCAGGGGCTTAACATCCCCAAATCCAGAAATTCCATTCTTTGCAGAGGCATCAGCATGCCAGCCCTGCTCCCACAGCCGCCAGATACACCGCGCTGGAGAGTATCGCTGACTTTCACCTGCTCGACTGAGGCCCACCCAAGATCCCATCGACGAAGAGCGGTTGGAGTGCGTGGCCCCGGCTGGGTTACTGAGGCAGAGAAGGCTCCAGTGCAATTCAGAAGGACGTCATCGTGCAGAATCTCGCTCGGTCTCACAGCAGACATCAACAGCTCCTCGGGGATGGGAAGTGTGAGTCCAGAGGTTTGCCGGGTAAACACAATTAAACAGTTTCAGGAGAAAGGCAGAAACTTTGGCCTTTTTGACCAGTAAGGAAGCTGAGACTTGGGGAAGTGGGGCATTTTGTTGTCGGTCACACATAGAGTAAGTAGCCAGCCCACAAGTGGCACCTGCCAGCCTGGTCCAGGTGCTGCAGCCAACAAGGTTTCTGCCACAGGCTGGGACATTTAGGAGTATACAGCATGGTTACAAAGTGGTTTTTAAAGTCAACGGAAATAGATATATTAAATCCTTCACGTATTTATGCGACACCAAATGGGTCTGTTTTCCCCCGTGATTTCCCTGAGACCATCCATGTAGGATCCAACAGCTAACAGGTGTGTTGAGCACTTACTTGCCGCGTACCAGGCACTGTCTAAACCCTTTACGTGTACTGGGTCACTTGATCCTCACAACCACCCCCTGAGCAGGTCGTATTGTGACAAGTGAGGCGACCCAGGCAGGGGGAGGTTTCCAGCCTTGCCAGGGGCACCTGGCAGGACTCGGGGACTGGAGCCGGGTCTGGCTCTGGAGTTCACACTCTGCTGCTTCTCACCAACCTCACACGCCCTGGAGGACAAAGGTCTTTAATTCGATCCCTGTGTTAGTGGATTCTGAGGCCTCCCGATCTCAGTTTCCCGTTAATGGTGGATTTCTTTCTGAGCACTGCAGTCAGAGGCAGGTGGAAATCAAAGTGAACCTTAGAAGCCGCAGATTTCAGGGACGTGGCTAGTTAGAGGTGTAGCTGTTCTAGCCTAGCTGTCTTTGGTGCTGTTTGCTGCTCTGATCTTTGGATCTCTCATTTTCTCTTCGGTGCTAACCTGGTTTCTCTGCGCCTGATCGGGGTGGAGTGGCTGCTCTGGGTGGTCATTGGGCCTCCCCACCGTCTCACAAAGGTGAGCTATGGGCAAGAGCAGCCAGTCCCTCTGCAAGAGTTTGAGTGGTTCTTGGCAAACATTTTTCCTCCCAAACCCTGACAGCTTTGTGATGAAAACCTTCTTCTACAACAGTGTGTCCCAATAATAATCTGCATTGTGTAGCGCACATTTTACATCAGTCTTATGTTCAAAACTGCACTTGCAACCCGAAATCAGCAGATTGTCCCCAGCAGAAGAACACTATCCACTGAGGTCATGAACAAACGTCTCACCCGAGTCTGGATGCTGGGCTAGAGCCCGGAAGCCTTGGGCAACAGCCTTCCTGGGGGCGTCAGCATGGTCTCTGCTGAGCTGGGGGAGTGCTCCCAGGGGCAGTGGGCTCTGGTTCCCCGTGAGTGTCCAGGGAGGGAGGAATCCTGCGGGACACAGCCAGTTCCGGAACTTGGGGCTATGCTCATCTTGAAGGAAGGGGATGCCATTCCCAGCCATTCTAGCCACTCCCAGGGACTCCCCTGTGGAAGCACAGTGTGTGGTGGGCTGGAGTTGTGCAGGTGGGGTGGGTGGATAGTCGTCCCCTACACGTACAGACGGAGGTCATCTCTTCTGGACCCCACCCGGGGACTGTACAAAGACTAATCAACTTCACCCTGGGGCCGGGCCCAGTAGTATTTGGGGGCGGTGGGAATGATTCTCTATTAACACCTAAGATCCCTTAACAGGGTAGCAGCTGCAATTGGGCAAACTTTGTGGGCCAGGAGTCCTTGCACTTTGTCTGATTTAATCTGCACCCTCTGAGGTGGGGGTGTTGCCCCTTTCCCGCGTTGTGGAATATGCAGAAAGATCAGTAAGTTGCCCAAGGTCACCCAACTAGTAAATAGTGGGGTTGGGATAAGGTCCCAGATCTGCTGCTCCAACCATCCCAGAGTGTCCCTGTACCTTACCTTGGCCATTCTCACCCTGCTGCCCCTCCAGAATCGTCACTGCTGACTTCCCTAGCTGAGGACACTAGGCACAAAGCCTGGGCCTCTGGATGGCAAGTCTGCAAGTCTGCAAGTCTGCGCGTGGAGCCCGTGGCCTGCTCCGAGGGAAGGCAGACGACGGCCTCTCCTTTCTGCTAAATCCCCTCCTGCCTGTGGCATGCTGCCAGCCCTGCTCACCGCTTCCAGCCACCTTTGGGCTTTCTGGCCCTTCCAGGACAGGCTTGTCTTCCAGGAAAAGGCTTGGAGATTAAGATAAACCAGGTGCCTCCAGTTAAATGCCCTCCTGCCTTTGAAAGGGCCGCTGATAAGCCTGCCAGTCCAGCTCCTGGGTTTAGCGGCTGGGCCCGCCTTGCCTGTCACCATCCCAGCTATGGCTGGGCCTGAATCCTGGGGCTCTTGGGAGACAGGGCGGGGCTCTCTGCAGAGCCAGACAAGGATCTCCCTCCAGGGCTTCTGGCCCCTCCAATAGCCTGTCTGCTCTCCCCGGGGAGACGTCTCCTGGCGTTTAGATAATGAAGAACTAGAAAACAACTGGCCTCCATCCCGCCTGCCTGCAGCCTCCTCCTCTGGCCTAGGTATCATCCAAAGCTCCAGCCCTCCTGGGTGGTGCTTGTTCCTGACTTGCACATGGATGGCTTCCTAAACCAGGCTCATTTTCTGAAACAGAGTATTAGAGGAAATTAAAAACTCACTCTACTACTGCTTCCCCTTCATGGCGAATTTTTTTCTTTTGTCTGTGTATCATTGCAGCTGGATTCTAAAATCAAGGTGCAATATGCTTTCAGGCTTACTAAAGTCATGTGGCCTTCCCAGGCCCTGTGGAACGGTTAGGTGTGCCCAAGATGACCACGGTTGGCCATCCCCTGTGAGGGTCAGAGGGGTGCAGGCCGGTCGTCACGTGGGCCTGTGCTTTGCTGAGAAGTGCCAGCGTATATCCAGAGCTTGCTTCCCAGATGTGAAGAGGCCAATCGTGGACTTAGCTCCCGTGACTTTGCCGCCAACATCAGTAACATGGACATTTAGGGAGCACCAAGCACGGGGAAGATAGGAATAGGCAAGGTAACAAAGTGTGACCTCTGAGCTCTGAGAATTTCCAAGTGAGGACTTTTGGTTTGTTTTGTTGAAGAATTGGTCATATCTGCTTTATGTTTTTAAATAAAAGAAATCAAACATTACAGAGAATGTTGACCTTCACTCTCTGCCTCATTCCTTTTTCACTTCCCAAAGCAACCACTATTCTCAAATACGTGTGTTCTTCATTCAGTTTTTAATATTTTTACGTATAGGCACCCATGAACACACCATGTAGTATTGTTTTGTGTGTTTTAAAATTTTATATATGTCTTAGCACCTTGTACATATTAGTCGGTAACCTTGTACATTCAAAATTGTTTTTTTGAGACCTGTCTATATTGATGTAGCTATTTAGTCATTTCATTTTGTTTTATTTTTGGATGGGAATTTTCTTGGTAAATTAAGTGCTAAATGTTGAGGGAATTTTTGTTTTGTTTTGGTTTGATTTGGTTTGGTTTTGAGACACCCTCACTCATCCCCCAGGCTGGAGTGCAGTGGCACAATCATAGCTCACTGCGACCTCTAACTCCCAGGCTCAAGCAATCCTCCTGCCTCAGCCTCCCAAAGTGCTGGGATTATAGGCATGAGCCACCATGCCTGGCCTGAATGTTGGGTTTTTAAAATACAGATTGCTTTACATGCCATCCACTTTCAAAAAGGATTTGAGTTCTGTTTC